ATGGAGCGTCGTTATGCGTTTGTGCACAAACACAAAAAGTCTTTTTGGGGAATGTTGCGAGTTATGAAACGAGAAATGCCAAAGTAAATATTAAATGAATTAGAATATATTAAATTTATTTTTATTTTTCGATGTGTCTGCCAATTTGTATGGGAAAACTTCGTAGCAGAATGTTTTAATTAAACAGCGAACTAAAACACTGACCCTTGATGATAAATTGACACCTTAAAAGTCTTACGAATTTTATATTTCAATATATTGTGGTCTAGTGGGTCGATTTTGAAGATTTTTTAAGTAATATAGAGATAAATAAAGGCTATGTGGCTATATATTTAATATTTATTTTAGCCTTTATAGACTGTGAGAAAGTTTTCGGCTCGATATATCCTAAGACAATAATAGAAGCCCTAGCGAAACGTAGGTTTTGAGGGCCTTATATAGAAACTCTTGCCAATTTATACAAAAAAAGTCAAAGCAAGAGTAATGATATATAAAACAACCCCAGAGTTCCCAACTGGCAAAGGAGTATGACAGGGAAACGGAATATCCCCAAAGCTGTTTACAGTAAAATTTGAAGAAATCTTCCGTCAAATGGACTGGACCAACAAAGCATTAAAAGTAGATGGAGAATAGCTTAACCATCTAAGATTCGCTGATGATATAGTCCTAATTGCCAATAGTCCTGAAGAACTACAAGCTCAAATTAATGAACTAAATAAAGCCAGCAATAAAGTGAGTCTCAAAATTAATTTAGCAATAACTAAACAACGAATTAGTGGAAAGAAAATATATTCTAATAAATAACACAATAGTGGAAATAGTAGAAGAATATGCCTACCTATATTTTTGGGACAACTAATACATAGCTCGGGATTTTAACTACCAGAAATCAACAGAAGAATTAAGTAGTAGAGGGAGATGGCCGATTCTACGCCAGGAGGAGGAGGAGCAAGGAGCAGGAGCAGGAGTAAATCAGCTAAGAACGGTTAAAATAGGCTAATAAACAAGAATAAACAGGTTTGAACCGCTTAAAACAGCTTTAAAACAGAAATAAACGGGTTTGAACAAAAAATGAACAGGCCTGTTGTTTTAAGCTAAAAAGCGGTTCAAAGCAGTTCAAAAGCGGTTCAAACCTGTTTATTCTTGTTTATTAGCCTATTTTAACCGTTCTTAGCTGATTTACTCCTGCTCCTGCTCCTTGCTCCTCCTACTCCTGGCGTAGAATCGGCCATCTCCCTCTACTAATTAAGTTAGCATCGATTACTTATAGAATAAATTCAATCATATTCAAATCTAGAATCCCACTCTATCTAAAGAAGAAAATATTTGACCAATGTCTACTACCAGTTATGATCTATGCATGCGAAATCTGGACACTTAAAACGGACATCATAAGGAAACTGGAGGTCGCACAACGTTCAATGGAACCAGGGAGTAACCAAGAAAGACCGTAAAAGAATAGAGTGGATACGACAAAAGACCCATGTAATAGATGTCATCCCTCAAATGGCAATGGGCAGGAAGAACGGACAACAGATGGACCACAAAAATTACAACATAGCACCTACGATGAATTAAGAGACCTACAAGAAGACCAAACCTAAGATGGGACCATATGATATTAGAACATTAGCAGGGATAACTTGGGCTCGCATAGCCAACAATAGACAACAATGGGCCCAACTACAAAGAGAGTATCTAAACATGTGAAGGAGGCTACACCATAATTGGTAATGATTGTAAAAGCTGAAGATGATTCTGATGATGAAATTTCTTCAACGAGTACAAAAAAAAAACAATAAAGGACAATCTAAGAACCAAATATACACATGGGTAATACAAACTATACCTAATACGTACGAGTAGAGAGCACCCACAAGTAACACCGTGGCGTATTTGATATAAATATATTGGGCCACATTCAACAAATATTGTATACCAAATGGTTATAACCTATCAAGTGAAAGTATTTTTAATTTAATGTAAGTCATCTAGAATGTATGAAAGATAATAATTGATATGGAAACGAGACAAATTTATTTTGTATTGGGCGGACTCAGCAGTACAACATGATTATCGTTAAGGCCGGTTCACCACTGCGATTATTAATAATATCGCGTGTCCTGTCCCATTTCTTGTCTGTTGGCTTCTAGATTTTAATTATCTCCAGAGTCTAGAACTGCTCGTTTTAATTTTCGATGATAAATTGCTTATGGCAATAAAATGATTTATGTAACAGAAGCCATAATTCATAAAGCACAGCCTTTTTTCAGTAGGCAATATACAGGTAGATTTAAAACCTAGAGATTTTCACGTTTTCTATAGAATTCATATTTTAATAGATAAACGAAAAAATATATTTTTCTGCGATCGTGCAAAAAGGAGCTATTTTTTACACTATCTACTGTATTAAAAGCCAAATTTTTTGTACTAGTGCAAAAAACACCTTGCCATTATTAATGACGAGTTTAACTAAAGAGAAAATTTGTAAATTTTTATAAAAAATTGTCAAATCCTAGAAGTTAAATCAAGTACCAGTACTGGACACCACGCAGCAACATTCCGGAAAACAGTTTTAAGTGATGAACAAGAACCCGAGACCCCCTCCACGAGCAGAAATGAGAATAAAATTCAAAAGACTACTGGAAATCAAGTGTGTCCATTAGTTACCTTAGTGAATTGTTCAACCAAACCAAACCAAACAAAAAGCATATTTGTTGCACTCAGCATGATTGTAGTTCTCGACTTAGTCTCGAGCTGTAAAACTCATGCTTCGTGCAACAAATATATCCTTTTTGCACTAGTTACACACATAACTATAGAGATGAAATTACTGTTTTAATATTTTAAATGATTTGGACCGACTCAGATTATTAGACGGTAACTCAATATTCATAGCGTATAAAAAACACGGCGCCAAGTTACCGATCCATACAATCCATATATTCTACATACAAATTGTCATTGATCGTCATTTCTAAGGTAACTTGACACCGTTTTTTTCGATTTAACGATATTTTTATTAGGTTGTTTATATTTGTACCTACGTTGTTTTATTTAAAAATAGAAAGACAGCTAGTTAACGACAAAAGGCAGAGACAAAAAGACGTAAACGTGTAATTAAAGTGTTTTGTTTATCGTTAATAATACTGTTGTTTGTTTTTTTAATGCCCTAAAGAGGAAATAGAAAGCGATGAGTACAATTAGGACTTAGCAATAAGATTTTCTACAATAAATGGCTTTTAAAAAATCTTTGGAGGATTATTTTAGGATACATTTTTAGTGCTTTTGAGATCAAAATAAAAACACTAAATCACCACAATACACCAAAACACTTTTACTTTCACACTGGACGCGCGTTTCGCTAACCATGTTAGCATCATCAGCAGATGATTATAAACTTATTAGTTTATAATAATGATGATGATGCTAACCATGTTAACTTATTAGTTTATAATCATCTGCTGATGATGCTAACATAGTTAGCGAAACGCGCGTCCAGTGTAAAATTAAAAGTTTTTTGGTGTATTGTGGTGGTTTAGTGTTTTTATTTTGCTGTTCACCAAAGGTTCCAACCCTCAACTGTAAGCTTTTGAGATATTGTAACAGACTCTGTTTCAGCTTCTTTTTAAGTTAAAAATTGAAACACCAATCTGTCTATTATACGAGGGAAAACAAAATGTACCTATTTTGGTGAAAGTTTCAAACATCCTGTGCAATGATTTACCAAAGTCAGTAATTTAATTATATTATTTGTTTCGATAATTTGTTTAATTAAAATTTTAAATTAATATTAGGACCATAAAACCGTTTTTTTCCTCTATAGAGCCCTCTAGATTTTCGACATTGTTTGAAAGCAGGGTGCAAAAAATCAAGATTTTTTTAGAAAAATAAAAAAAATAGATTTTTTTATTTTAATCAGTTTTTTTTTTATTTTCATCGGAATTTTTGGATTTTAATCAATTTTCTATTTAAAGTCCTATCCTAAATGACTAAATCTTCGTAACTCTGCTCGATATCGATAATGTTAACATTTCTACGGCGCGTTGTCGTTTTTCCACATCGGTCACCAATATACAGGGTGTCCCAGGAATAAGTGCAAGTATTTTAACTGGTAGTATAGTTCAACCCCAGAAACACGCCTATGAGATTTTTTTGCCAAAAAAAAAATTGAAAATTTGGAATTTTTTGAAAAAAAAAATTGGAATTTTTTTTAGTTTTAAGATAATAAAAATAATATAATATAATAGCTCCCGTATATAGCGTTCAACGCCTTGGGAGTAGCAAGGTACAGCTTGCCATACCAGAGCCGTTCGGTATACAAGGAATATAATGTGGCTAGCACTACGCTTCAACCGCCTATTATTACCTCAGGATTGTGAATCCCAAGTACTCATTTAAGGCTGAGTCGACCTAGGTACCCAAACTTTTATTTTAATAAAAATAGTCGGCTGATGCAATGCCGGGTGTGGGAATCGAACCCACTACCTAGAGATTGGTAGACGAGAGCCTGTACCTCTACGCCACCGGGCACCAGGGGTGGATGGGCCATATGGGAAAACGGGAAAATTCCCGGTGGGCCGGTGGAAAGATGGGCCGGTGGGCCGGTCCCGATCAGAGCTCAAAAAAAGATTGGATTAGCCAAAATTAAATGGTTAATCATCTAACTAAAGTGACGTAAGATCCTTAG